ACCACAAAAAATTCATTGATTCACGTTCACCTACTCAATTTCTTCAATATGAACAATAACGCCTAAATTTTTTATTGAATAGAGAAGTCCAAAAGATGCTCAAAATGGCAACCATTTTCTGCAACACATATCTGTATCTCTAGAGTAGGAAAGGCCCACAGCACTTAGGCCACATGTGTCNACCATTTTCTGCAACACATATCTGTATCTCTAGAGTAGGAAAGGCCCACAGCACTTAGGCCACATGTGTCCCATTTTACATCCTCCAGACGAGTTATCCTCCTAGGTCATCGTACATCCTGTCCTTTCCAGGAAGGACAGGTATAGTATAAGACTCGTCAAACACACACTGTCTTGTCGATAACTCTGGACACTCGCATAGGACATGCCTGACAGTTCCTTCTTTCTGTTCACATATCCTGCATAGAGGTGTGTCCACTACCCACTTACTATGGAGGTGTTTCCTTTGTTGACAGTGGCCAGATTGGGCGTAGAATTTTCCTGGTCATCGTCAGATATTTCTTCGGTGTCAGCTCCCCACGGTCGCCCAAGGTGATCCTGGCAAGATTGCATCCTTTGATTCCATCGCATCTATTTTGGGATGGATCATAGGTGTGACGTTTGGCTATTTCCGCAATTGTCGAAATCATCAGGCCGTAGGTGTCACTGGGTCCTTAAATTCTTAGTCCAGCCGCTTCCTTGGATAAAAAGTCGGCAATACGATTACCTTTACTCCTGTCGTGCCCTTCAACCCACCTCAGGATAATGTTATTATCCACCTCTGGATAATGTTATTATCCACCGAGGCTTTGGCTAAATCTCGGATTTCGGGAGGTTCAAGCCCGATGAATGTCTTTTCCTGGTGAAAAGGACCATCTCAATCTCCTTGGGATTGATCGACAGTGAGTGTTCCTCACACCATGTTTCTATTAATTTGAGCCGATCCTGCGCTCTATCGCATAATGTATTCACAAATATGCCGGTCTGCAAGATAACTATGTCATCTGCACATGCATTATTGTTGAGGTGATTAATCAGGACATCCAGAACTATGTCCAAAGAAGAGATGATAAGACCCCTCCCTGTGTACATCCCCTCATGACCAGTCCTCTTACTGCGATGTCTTCTACATTGATACGTATTGCTCTAGTAGAGAGCATCTTGAGTATTCATTCTCCTACTTATTGGATAATTGTTGTAAAGGTTGTTTTATCAAACGCTCCTTCGATATCTATAAATATACCCAGGGTGGATTCTTTGTTGTCCAATGATTTTTCGATTCTGCCAGTCACATGGTGAAGGGCCGAATCAGTAGACCTTTCCGGAATATATGCATGCTGATTTGGATGTAGTAGGTTGTGAACTAGTACTCAACTCTCATGTACCACTCACATAGCCTCTCCATAATTTATAAAAAAAACGATGTGAGATTAATTGGTCGGAATGCTTTTGGTGAGGTGTAGTCCATCCTACCTGGTTTGGATATAAATACCACTCGTACTTTCTCTCCACTTACTGGGAATATACCTTAGAGCTAGAGAGGCTCTGAATATTCCAACCAGGTGCGGCATGAGAATATTCAATCTCTATTGAAGTAGGGCTGCTCTTATATCGTCAGGTCCTGTGATCTTAAGGAGAAAAAGACCGATATGGTCCATTTTACCTTGTCCTCATCAATAACTGCACTAGCAGATTGCCAGTCGTATTGTGAGGATGTTGTTGATACTTCCATCCAATGCGTAGTTCCAGGAAACACAGAACCTGGGAAGTGAGTTTCCATAAGAATTTTAGCACTCTATTGGCGATTTGGCGGCTTTGTCGCCATTTTTCCTCGTCAGGATGTCGATACTCTTATTGTGGTCATTTGAGAGTACTTGCTGCAGCATAGAAGCTGGTGGGAAGCCTTCGACTGACATCAGGCTCTCCAGACTTCTTTTTGCCCCTCTGGAATTTCCGTGAAAGCTCTAGTGATTTTTCTTATCATGTCTTGTTGGAGGAGTTTGGTAGACAATCCATTTGATATACCCCTATAAAAATCCATTTTGGTCAGTTGAAGGTACCGGCCCTGTTGATGGTTCAGTCAAAGAACAAAATGGGGGTTTGTTGTGGTATAATAATGCATGTTACGCCGATTCACAGTTCCATCATTATGGAAAGTCGCTTCATCAGAAAATAACACGAAATCAAAAAAATCATTTTCCTGATTGATCTTTTCTGAGCCTCATCGGCAATATTGAACACGTTTTCAAAATCTCTTCCCCCTTACTCTTGCATCAATTGCCAGTGGTAAGAATGAAATTTGCTTGCTCGTATCATTCGAGACGCGCTGGTTTGAGAAAATCCTAATTCCCTGCTTAGCTGTCGGGTACCCACATGGAGATTTTCAAAAAGGTAAAGAGCAACATGAAATGTATTCTCTTCATTTGTTACAGGGTAGACACGTTCCAACTTCTCGTGATTGACATTACCAGTTCTTTCAAATCTTGTTTTTAGAGCAAGAAATGCCCTTCCATCTGGTTTTCCTTTTTCGGGGAACTTCACTTTGTGAATCGTAGTTGCAAGGGGGCAGTTTCCGTCTTTTTCCCCCGAAGCATAGACCATTCGCATCATATCTACCAATACATGGTTCATAATGAAAATGATTCAATCTACATGCGAAAGAAACTTCAACACATGGCGTTATTGACAAATTCCGAGATTAATTTTTTGATATCAGTCAAGGATAACGGAGTTTTCAGAGAAAAAAGCAGCATTTATATATTCTTTAGGTTTTTTGTGCATTTTTTACAGTTGAAACCGCTGAGAACTATCACTAGATGGTATTAAAAATG